CTGTCTTGTCACTGCTACCAGCGGGTGAAAGCCACAAAAAGATGAAAGAAAATGAATTATGACTTTGCAATTTGTTTACTCCGCACACTTGACATCACTTTGTGTTTTGCCCTTCACATTGTTCTGCTGAAGATGCACACCCTTCCTCAGACCCTGCAAGAGGCTGTTTGCCAGCAGCAGCAAAGGTGAGGGCAGCGGCAGCGTACGCAGAGAGAAAAGACAGAGGAAAGGAGGGGAACAGAGGATGTTTAGTAGTTCCTCTCTTGGATCCACCCAAAAGAAAAGCTCAGCCTACATAAAAGTCCATAAAAGCAGCTGAATAACTCTGCTAAAAACACAGTTACACTTTCTATTAATTGGGTTGGCACAATGCTGGAAAATCTTACGCCGTTTATTTCAGAACATGTGTGAGGACATCATCCTTTTCATCTGCTACGTGAAGGTAACGAGAAAAAATCAATAAAAAAAGAGAAATCCCATCTTTTTTCAACGCTTCTCTGGCCTCCTTCATTTCATCTTTGGCCATGCCTTTTTTATTATGTTACTGTAAGGTAACCCAGGCCAAAAAAATAGGAGGTTTTCTTGCTGGCTGAGAGGAGGCTGACTCATCTCCAACCCAGCGCACTCCCCGGCCGCCGGCTCCCGTGCTGCAGTACCTTGCACCAGCACTGCACCTGGGTCACCGCAACGCCCCAGCGTGGGTGCAAAAGCCAGACTGCGATTCTCATTGCAACCCGTAAGTGTCAAGGGCTTAGACGCCTGATGTCAAGTGTTTAGACACTTGATGACTTGGCAAATCAGAGGTGAAAAGGGGTATTTCCTACCGCCACCCCCCGTTGACCTAAGCTAAGATGAGTTAATACAACCTTAAGGCTTGTAATGCTTTTTGCCCGTGTTGGAAATGAGATGGAAGCAGGCACAATGTAAGAGGTTTCCTAAGAAAGGCATATTTGAGATGTTTCATCAATCAAAGTGGTAATAAGTGAATCCAGAGCTGAACAGGGTACAGCAGAAGTACAAGGGACTGGAAGCTGAAGTGCTTTTACATATATACTACCGTACTTTTTTTTTTTCTCAGTTTAGAAAGTTTATCCAAGCTCCTCTTTCTGCAAGAGAGCACATCAGAGATAAGGTAAGATTAAACAGTCAGATTTTTGGTCTTTGAAACATTTATTCAAACCTGCTTACTTATATATATTTTTTTTTCTCAGTACTAAATAGAAACTTAAAGCTAAAATGGACACTTTTTTTTTCTGATTAGATCTCTCATCATCCTTTATGTGTTTATACATGCCAGAGAGTAATAATAGACAGGTGTTTTTGCACTATCTACTTATACTCTTTATGAAGAACACAGTTGCCTTTTTCTTTACTGCAAGTCACTTCAGATTAGAATGGCATAATGATAGCAATTGACATACTGACAATGTTTTAACTTGTTCTATATTTCACTTCTATATTGTCCAAGATAACTGCTACATAAAGACTCTTGGAGGGCTAATACCACATGCTTTTCCAACGTATTAAATGCCCAAGAATAATTCCAGCCAGCCACAACCCAGAGAAGTCAAAAATTGATCTTCCCACAAACATTGTTAAATTGCAGCAGCACTTCACGCCTTCAACTGCCCACTAAAAGCACGGGTTGCTATTCCAGTCGCGTCATAGCCCATGCCCAAATTCTTCCCTTTGACCAAATTCTGCAAGGTGTTAAGGGCCTTTGCGATACGAAAATCAACGGAAATTCTGGGAAGGGAGCACTATGGAACTTTTAAACACTGATGAAGTAAGTCAATTTATTCTCGTGTTGAAGTTGTTGAATCTTCCTTTGTTTAGTCTAGTTCTATAAAAAGAACAATATTCATAAGCCTTTCCCTAGAGATGGTTTCTGAGATTTTTAAACAATTGTCTTAGCGGCCTGCAGCATCTATCCTACATTTCTCTACATGATCAAGGTAACTGACAGTATATACATTCAGCATAACCTCAGGCACTATATAATCTAATTACATCCCAGGATTATATATGCCAAGTGGACGAGCTGCAGTGAAACATCGCAGTAGTCCTGCAGGCATCTGATGCACACAAATACTCAGAAGTAAGAACCACACTACTTGGGATGACGGTCCAGGAACGCACTTGCGTGTGCTGACGCTCAACAGCCGGCTCCAGGAATGAAGTTCATGGAGATGAGTCAGCACTGACTGCTCAGGGACCACGTTCTCCAACACAGCTGGCAGCAAACAGGTATGTGTTCCCAAAACAGCCTACCCTTCTCTTCCGACTCCGGCACCCTGTGCTGTGATGCTGTAGAAGAGGTGGCCGGAGGCAGAGGGCAAGCGGGCAGGATGGACAGCAGGGACAAGCCTGTTCCTCTGGGGGCAACGAGTCACCAGGCTTGCTCCCAGAAGCACCCATGCATTTTGCTCTGTGTATATATATATATATATATTGCTCTGTGTGTGTCTATATATATACATATATATATATATTTAGGAAACGACCCCCCACTTCTGGGGGTGGGCAGACAAATCCACAACTGCTGCTCCCCCGTCAAGCGTTCCTCACCAGGGGCTGGAAGGCCACCTTCCTGCCCACACTCTCATGGCCCTGCATGGTGCACCCTTGGCTGCTCCAGGTCTCCTACACCTCCCTGCCAAGCCACCTCGCTCCAACAGGAGGAAAAGGGAGTGCTGTACTTGTCTTCTTCAGACCCTCCTGCACTCTGCCATAGGCTGGCAGGGGGAACCGAACCCCATCTCCCACCTCCCTGTGAAGCCTTCTAGCCCAAAAGGTGCTGAACTTACTGGAAGTCATTTGGCTCTCTCCTTCTGGCCATATTTTCTGAAGTGACCATATCTCCATCCCAAACTAAAACCTGTTAGGGTTTGTTAGACATGCTCCTGGTATTGACAAGTCCTTGAGGGCAGGCAGGGACGACGCCCAATGGCCTTAGGGGACAGGTCTCAGCGTCGAAGGCAGTGGCAGCCCCAGACAGAAACGGCTGCAGAAGGCAGGTGCCTGACCTGGCCTTGCTTCACTAGTGAACACGCACCCACGTGAAGTGCTGCCGGTCATTCAGACTCAGTCACACGGCTCCTCTTCAGCCACATGCTAAAAGCCCAGGTCAGTTCTTCTACCTGCTCTCGGTTTATCTGCCCTGTACCTCTTCATCTCAATAAGCCACGTTTTTAACAAAAAAGGAACAGAAAAATCGTTCAGACTAGTTGGAAGGAATTTACTCTTTTGCTTCTGGCTTAGAACTGCAAGTGTCAGGCTGCAGCCCCAAATGCAGTTTGCAAATAGGAGGGGTGACACGAGGAAGGCGCGAGGGCGTCACAGCAGAGCTGGCTCTGCCCAGCCACTGACGGGCCACCGCTCCCCAGACGGGGCTTACCTGGGGACAGGAGCCTCCCAGCTTCCCACCAGCGCGTCCCCAGCTGCCACCACACGCTCGGCTCAAACAGCGCCGGTGGAATCAGCATTGCCCTTGCGGAAAGAATGACACATGCTGTTGTCACTGTTTTGGCCTGCCTTCTACTAGTAGCTGGAGAGCGCTTGCTCTCAGCTCTGGCCTGGCTCTCGTTTTGCCAACACTAAAAGTAGAAAGGGAGACGGGTTGGGGTCTTGGGGAGAGCACCAAGCCCATGGCCGAGCTGGGGCAGACAGAGCATCTCCGCCGTTTCCCGGCGTTACATGCAGCCAGCCCACTTGTGCGGAAGGCGACTCGCCCCAGGGCTCAGGTGCAGCCAGGAGATCTTGCTCCGTTGCAGAAAGCACGGTGACGGGCGCTGCAGCAGCATCGCCACGGTACCGAGACATGAATCCGGGATTCCCACGGCATTGTCATCTCTCTGCCTAGCAGTACTAATGTCAGCAAAAGGACTTTCTTCAAAGGAAATGGCAGCCTGAAGAGTGTCAGAAATGAGGGCCCCCGCAGAGATCCATCAAAACAAGCTTCTCCTGTAACCGTCTCGTGGGAGCAGTCCCTCAGCCTGACCTGGAAACATCTTAATCTACTGCCCTGCCTTCCACTCTGCTCTCCTTATAATTTGAAAATGAATCTCCTGAGAAGAACGCAGAACAGTACAAAAGCCCAGATCAGCTATAATTCATATCTTCATCACAAATGGTTGACGTAAAAACCTCTGAGCTTCCAGTGGCACGTCTGGATGCATCTCATAGTGGCATGTGACAACCTGGGGGAGCTGCAGTGGAGCAGCTCCCTTCTCCGCCCTGAGGCACGTTGTCCTGACAGTAGCTGGCTGAGGCTGGCTTTGCTACGTCAAACGCCCCTGTGAGAGCACTCCTTCCAGATCTCCTTGTATGTATTTAATCATGGGTATGTCAGCAATAAAAGCAATTTTTCACTCTGCCAACCCTGTTGCAGCGCAGAGTCACCACCACCAACACAGCACGAGCTGCTGCTGGTACGTTTGCACTCACAGGCACAGTCTCAAGCCTCGGTGAGTTACCCCTGAGCAACCACGATGCACTTATGAAGAAATATTTTTATCACGAAGGTGACCAAGCACTGGCACAGGTTGCCTGGAGAGGTTGTGGAGTCTCCATCCTTGGAGATATTTGGAGCTCAGCTGGATACAGCCCCCTCTCCGCGCATCCTGCTGTAGCAGGCCCTGCTCTGAGGAGGGGGCTGGACCAGTCGACCTCCAAAGTGCCCTCTAGCCCCAGAGATTCTGGGATGAAGGTCACAGGGCAGTTAAGAACATGGCAAGACTGCGGCTGCACAAATACCATTTTTTTAAAAAATCTAGCTAATATAAGCTATTTTGGGCCATGAAGGAACCAGCATCATTTTTCTTCAGGAGAACAGTGGTCGCTCCGTTCAGCCTGTTGCAACCAGTACCGCACACAACCTTGCCTACCACGCAGTCCTCGGCTAACACAACTACTCTTTTAATGTAAACAGGGGGAACGCATTCGCCTGAGGACAATGTGAGCACTGGGCCAGCTCTCCACAGGCAGAAGAGGTCCTGTCCATGTGCACAGAGGATCACACCACCCAGCCTCAATCACTCAGAGGCATCACCCCAGCTCAAGGACCTCCAAGAGAAGCTCCCGACCACGACCCAAGCCTGGTATGCTGCCGGCTGACAGCGGTCTCCACCGCTTTTTGGGTAGTTGCTAGTGACAGGCAACAGCATGGAGCTGGGGACAACGCCAGCGGAACTGAACTGATCAGAAGGCCACCCATGTACAGCCGAAAGTCAGCTGAAGGTAACAAAGCTGCAAGGAGCTCAACTTCCACAGCACACTTGTGTTCACCGGCAGCACTGACTGGGAAACGTAAATCTGCAGTCGGCACGGCACAGACAGAGCGGTTAATTGTGGGGATAACTTCATAATGTAATTAAGAGCTCCAGATTACATATTAAGGAATCTGGATTTTAGTAAAACAATTTATCCAGCATATAAAGGACACTCCTAAAGCAGAGCCTCTTCAGCATTGCTACAGAAGGTCCAAAACTGTATAA